TATTTAAATCTTAGGAATGTTTGGAATGAATTATATTTTTGAAACATACATTAAAGAAAAATCAGGTCTAAGTTAATTTTGCTTGTTCTTTGAAAGGGAAGATTTGAAATTTTGTATTAAACTTTCAACGCATAGTTACGCATACCTTTGAGCTATATTGTGGTTGGTATTTTGAATTTAATTGCATTTCGCCCTCAATAATGTTGAGTAATATGTGTGATTTTCCTTGAATATAACTAAATTTGATTTTAAATTTGATTAAGATTTCATTTACTAGGCAGTTTGTGGTTTACTGTTTGTTTGTCCTTAAGGATATGTACAAATGGTTGATTTGCTTATTGGTATTATTCATCTGTTGTTGCCTATATGGGTTTAGTTTTTACCTTTTAAATAGGGTTAAACTATGGGTTTAACCTATTTTAACCTTATAACTATATAATATGTATATATGTATATATTATATATAGTATATATATATATAGTATATATATATATTATATATAATATATATATATATATATATATATATATATATATATTTATATATATTATATAGTTATATATATGCATATATCCATATATGTACATATATAAATACCACACATACACACACATATATATATATATATAGTATATATATATATATATATATATATATATATATATATATTAATTATTCTACTGCAAATCCTTGTATCTATCTATCTTTCTCGTCTGCAACCCTTATATCTATCCATAACTGTATATCTCTCAATTGAATCTCCTCTGTAAATCCTTGTACCTATCTATCTATCAGTCTCTTCTGAAATCCTAAGGGACGATGATAAGCGAGGCCTTGACTGACCCCCGCGATGGCCCCCCCCCCCTGGCGATGCCCTTATGCCCCCCTCCTGGCGATGCCTTGGATGCCCCCCCCTCCCAAGCGATTGCCGTCCCTTCCTCCTCCAAAGCGATGCCCCATAATACCCCCACTACTGATGCCCCCCCCCCAAGCGATGCCCATAATACCCCCCACTACTAATGCCCCCCAAGCGATGCCCTGATCCCCCCCCCCCGCGCCGAATGTCCTTCACGCCCCTTCTCCCCGGGCGATGCACACGACCCCCCCCTCCCTCCCCCCTAGGGACTCTCCAGCAGGACAGACACGACAGCCTTTGCACTTAGCTCTTCATATTCCACTTCCCCATTACGGTCGGCGATCCCAATGGCGGCCATGGGGAAAAACCGACCTTATGGGCAATCGGGAAGAGGCGTCGCGTTCTTGCCCCCTCGCCGTGGCATAATCCAGGGCGTCTAAAGTGTTTATGGTTTGGTTTGTGTTGGCGGTTTGATGGAGAGGGTGTTGGGGGTGGAGGGTGTTGGGGGGTGGGGTGGGTGGGGGGAGAGGGGAGGGGTAAAGATGGGGTGTTTGGAGAGGGGGTGAGGGTGGAGGGCGTGTTGGGGTGGGGTGGGGGTAAGAGGGAGAGGGGGTGTGGTGTGTGGTGGTAAGAGGGGGAGGGGGCTCTTCTCGGCTCTTCCTCTTAAGGTGGTGGTGGGAAGGGGGGGGGGGTCATACGCGAGCTGGGATCCATCTTTTTTTTCGTTTTCTTTATTTCTTCTGTCTCTTCTGCTTTTCTCTCTTTCTTTTCGTTTCATTTCTTTCTTTTTCTGGCTCTTCTCTTTCTTCTTCTTCTTTTCTTTCTTCTTTTATGCCTCTTCTAATTCTTCTTCCTCTTCCTCTTTTTTCTACTTCTTTTACTTCCTCCTTTTCCTTATTTTTTCTTCTTCCTCTCCTTTCTTCTCTTTCTTCTCCTTTTCTTCTTTTCTTCTTCTTTTCCTTTTTTCTTCTTTCATTCTCCGCTTCATCGTCTCATTTTCTGTTTCTTTGGCTTCTTCTTTGAGTGTTTTCTTACATTTTCTAAGTTTTTTTTTTTCTCTTCCTGCTGCTTCATCGGATTTTATATTTCCCTCTTTCTTTCCTTTCCTCCATTCTCCTCTTCCTTTCCTTTTTCCATTCCATCTCCTCTTTCTTTCCTTTCCTTCCATCTTCTCTTTCCTTTCCTTCCATCTCCTCTTTCTTTCCTTTCCTTCCATCTCCTCTTTCTCTCCTTTTCCTTTCCATCTCCTCTTCCTTTCTCATCTTCAATTACAATACCTTGTCTGAAGTAAAAAAAACAAAAAAACGGGGAAGTCGAATCAAAGGACCATATAAGGAGAGAAGAAGAAAAATAAACGCCACAAATAACGAAAAAGAAAGAAAAGTCGAAAGCCGAAAGAAAAAAAAGAGGAAAAAAAGAGAATGATAAACGCCACGAATTGAGGAAAAGAAACGAAAGAGAAACGGAAAGAATGATAAACACCACAATTACGAAAAAGAAACAAAAGATAGAAAGAAAGTGGAGCCGAAAGAAAGAAAAAGAGAAACGAGAGAGAATGATAAACACCACAAATTGAGAAAAAAATAAACAAAAGAGAAGCGAAAGAAAACAAAATTGAGAGAAACAAAAAAAGTAACCAGAAGATCCGAATAAACGTCACAAATTTAGATAAAAAAGATACAAAAGGGGAAGCGAAAGACGAGAATAAACCACAAATAAAGTCGAATAAACAACGAGAGGAGAGAAGAGCCAAATAATCATCACAAACTTTAGAACAAATGAAAGAAGAAGAAACGAAGAAAAAAGAATAAAGAACGAAAGGAAAAAATAAAACACGAGATTAAGGGAGAGAGAGGAGGAAGACAAGAGGATGAAGAAAGCCACCACAAATTAAGAAGAAAAAAGAAAAAAAAGATAATCGAAAGACAAGAAGAGAAACACCACAAATTAAGGAGAAAAAAAGGTGGAATAACACACATTTTTAGAAACAAAAAAAAAATGCGAAAAGCGATAAAACGTTCAAAGAAAAAGGAAGAAACAGGAAAGATCCGAATAAACATAACAAAGAAAAAAGAAAAAAGAAAGCAAAAGAAAAATAGAAAAATGAACAGGAAACCCGGAATAAACACAACAAAAGAAAAAGAAAAAAAAAAGAAAAAAAAAACGAGAGGATGTTGAGAGGTGGCTAATCGGACATTCCTTCGCGGGCGGGCGTGCGGGCGTGCCGGGCGTTGCGGCGGCGCGGAGAGCGAAGGCACAGTGCCCGCTTGTTTCCCCGCCAGGTTCACGGCCCCGGGGCACTCGATCCTAGGGAAGGGAGGGGGGTGTGGGGAGGGAAGGCGAGGGAAGGAAGGAGGAAGAATGAGGAGGGGAAAGAAGTATAGAAGGGGAAAGGGAGGGAAGAGAAGAGAGAGGGAGAGGAGGAGGAGAGGAGATAGGAAAGAGGGGTAGGAGGGGAAGGAAGGAGGAGGAAGAGAGGGGAGAGGAGGAAGAAGAGGAAGAGGAGGAGGAGAGGAAGAGAGCGGAAAGGGAAGGGGGAGGAAAAGGTAGGTTGAGCAGGTGGGAAGGAAGGAGAGGTGAGAAGGGAAATTAGAGGAGACGGAGGGGAGTGAAAGGAGGTAGGAGGAGGGAGGCGAGGGAGGGAAAAGAGTAAGGGGAAGTGTAGGAGTGAGGGGGAAAGGATGAAGGAGGGGGGAAAGGAGGGAGGAAGGAGGTGGAGTGAGGAAGAGGAGGAAGGGAAAGGGAGGAGAAAGGAGGGAGGGAGGCGAAGGGAAGGAGGAAGGAAGGGGAGAAAAAATGGAGGGAGAGGGAGGGAGGGGAGGCGAGGGTAAGGGAGGAATAGGCAAGGGAAAGGGAAGGAGAGGGAAGTGGTGTGAAGGAGACCAGACGAGAGGAGGGGAGGAAGGGGGAAAGGGGAAGTGAGTGAAGTTATTTTAAGATTAAGAGGAGATGGGATGGTGGAAGGAGGGGAAGAAAAAGTGGAGGGGATAAGGAGAACGAATGAGAAAGCGAAGAGCAGACGACGATGATGAGTGAAGGGAAAGAGAGACGAAAGAAGGAAGATGATAAATACGAGAAGTAAGAAGCGGAATGAAGAAGGAAAGCAGCAGAGAGGGCCAGAAGAGAAATAAGAAGGGATAATAATAAAATCTCCACGAATGAAAAAGAAAGAAAAATGAGAAAGACAACTAGTGCATAGAGAACAGAGGAAAAATGAAATATGATATGGAGAATATCTACACGAAAGAGAAACACAAATGAAAAAAAAACAACCATAGAGAGAACGGAAGGGAAAGAGAATGTGTATAAGCGTGATAAAAATGTCCTCACGAAAGAACAAAGAAAAAGAAAAGAAAAGAAAAAACAAGAAATAACGAAAGAAAAACAAAAAAGCCGGAAGAAATAGCACCAAAGAGAAAACAGAAGGGAAATAAAAATAAAGATAAAGAAAAATATCAACACGAAAGAAAAGAAAAAAGGAGAAAAAGAGAAAAGAAAATTCAGAAAAATCAGATTTTGGCGGAAATACCCAGCCAGAAGATGGATGTGAACGAAGCTTGCGGTCGGGCGAGCGGGCGGAAAGAGGGCGTGGAAAAGTTATTAAAAAGAAATGGAGTTATAAGGCCTTAATCACTTCTGAGTAATTGCTTATCTTTCCCACCCAAGAGAAGAAGAAAAAAAAAGAAACACTTGAGATGTAATTGATTTATCTCGGCTGGGGGAGGGGGAGGGGTAATTGGACGTCGGAGGTCTCGGCCAAGTGGTTTCGACGTCACGTGATCGTCTCGGGCGTCGCTTTGATAACCGCAAAGACGCCGGAGTGTGACGGGTCCTCCCTTCGACCTCCTCCTCAGGCGTTTTCTCTGCCATTGCCGTCCTCAGAGATCCTCCTCGGGCGCCTCAGATCTTATCTTTAGATCTCCTCCTCAGAGCTACTCCTCGGAGCTCCTCTTCGGATCTCCTCCTCAGAAATACTCCTCCGAGTTCCTCCTCCAAACTCTTCCTTCAGAACTGCTCCTCAGAACCCCTTTCTCCGCAATTATATACTCCTCCTCCGAGTTCCTCCTCGGATCTCCTGTGAGCTCATCCTCAAATCGCCTCCTTCAGGTCTCCTCCTTCAGACCTCTTCCTCCCATCTCCTCCTCAGAGCAGATCTTTCCGGGCCCGAGACCCCGATTGTGCCCGGATGTCTGACAATGACTCAGGCGCCCATTGTCTCGACTCATGACGCCCTCGCCGCCGCCCTCGCCCACGGCCGCGCAGCAGCTCCCGGACGCCGCCTGCTCCCGTAAAATCACGTTCTCCATTGTCTCGACACGCCGGCCGGGGGGGGGGGGATTTGGCTGAGAGGGACCCTGGATTGGCTGACGAGGACCTTAGGCCGAGCTGAGAGGGACCTTTAGGGAGGCCTGAGAGGGGACCCTGTGGGGGATTTTTGGCTGAGAGAGGGACCTTACGGGGATTTGGCTGAAGGAGGGACACTGTGGGGGATTTGGCTGAGAGGAACACCCTGGGGGATTTGGCCTCCGAGGGGGACCCTGGGGGATTTCGGGTGATGCAGGGACCCTAGGGGATTTGGCTGAGAGGGACCCTGGGGGATTTGGCTGAGGGGGACCTTAGGGGGATTTGGCTGAGAGGGCAGGGGGATTTGCCTTAGAGGCGATTTGGCTGGGATTTTGGCTGACAGGGGACCCTAGGGATTTCGGTGAGATGGACCCCAGGGGATTTGGTTGAGAGGGACCCCAGGGGACTTCGCTGAGAGGAACCCTGGGGGACTCCGCTAAAGGGGACCCTAGGGGGATTTCGGTGGAGAGGGACCCTGGGGATTTGGCTGAGAGGGACCCTGGGGATTTGCGCTGAGAGGATCCTAGGGACTTCTCGGTGAGATGGACCCCTGGGGATTTGGTTGAGAGGAACCCCAGGGGACTTCGCTTGGAGGAAACCCTGGGATTTTGTGACCGGGGACATTGGGGGATTGGCTGAGAGGGACGTTTGTGTTGTGGACTTCCTTTCCGGTGGCTGGCGTTGAGTCGTCACCTTGGGGGAAGTGTGTGTTGAGAGAGGGTTTTCGCGTGCGAACACGGACGCAGAAGTGGCGGGGTGTGTGTGTTGTGTGTCTCTCTTTTCTCTCTGTCTGTTTCATTCTATATCTCCTCTCTCTCTCTCTTCCTCTCATCATTTCTCTTCTCTCTCTCTTCTCTTCCCTTCCCTTCTTATCTCTCTCTCTCTTTCCCCTTCCACAGGTACTTACTTATATATGGGTATAAAAAAAGGAAGGAGGAAGAGAAAGATAGTAGACGGAAAACCTTAAAAAAAATAGATAAATAAATAAAAAAACAAGATGATACGTAAAAAAGAAAGAAACAAGTGAGAGAAGAGACGACAAAAAAAAAATCGCCAAGTGGAAAAGTCCGGAAGAGCGGTTTCTCGTCGCATTAACGTGGAATCTGTCCTTTAACGGCACATTCATTGGCGATGGTCGGCTGCGGAGGCCTTGCGGTGCCGGAGGTCTGTGTCAGGCGGTCTCTCTGACTGTCTGTTGATCTGTCTGTCTGTCTGTCTGTTTATCTAGGTTTGTGTCTATCTGTTTATCTATTTATTTATTTATCTGTCTCAATCAATCTCTCTGTCTATCTGCTATCGCTATCTCTATCTATCTATCTATCTCTATCTATCTATCTATCTATCTCTCTCTCTCTCTCTCTCTCTCTCTCTCTCTCTATATATATTATATATATATATATATATATATATATATATATAATATAGAGAGAGAGAGAGAGAGAGAGAGAGAGAGAGAGAGAGAGAGAGAGAGAGAAATTGAGAAAGAGAGAGAGCATGAGGAAGAAAAGAGAAAAGAGGGAGAGGGAGTGGAGAGGAGAGGGAGGGAGGGAGTGGAAGGGGACAGGGAGAGGGAGTAGGGAGGAGCGGGGGTAGGGAGGAGGTCAAGTGGAGGCGTCAAAGAGAGCCAATAAACCTTGGGAGATGAGCGTTAGGAGGAACCCCATTAGGAACCCACTTAAGAACCCTTTATTGCTCCTTCTACTTTTCGTCACTTTTATTCCTTCTTTCTTTATTATTTTTCATTTTTTTCTGTGTTGGTTTTTTTCCTTTATATATTTATTTTTCTCCTTGTACTTTTTGTCACTTTTATTCTTTCTTTTTTATTATTATTCATTTTTTCTGTGTTGCTTTTATTCTTTTTTTTCTACTCGTACTTTTTGTCACTTTTATTCCTTCTTTCTTTATTATTATTCATTTTTTCTGTTACTTTTATTCTTTATTTATTTTTCCTGTCACTTCATTTATCTGGTTTTCGCTCCATGGACTCCACTTAAGAACGCTTTATTGCTTCTTGTACTTTTTGTCACTTTTATTCTTCCTTTCTTTATTATTATTATTATTATTATTTTATTCAGTCACTTCATTTATCTTTTTTTCCCTCTATGAATCCTAATTAAGAACTCTTTGTTGCTTCTTGTACCTTTTTTGTCATTTTTATTTTCTTTCTTTCTTTATTGTTATTAATTTTATTCTGTCACTTCCTTTGTCTTTTTTTTGGCTCCATGGACCATTTATTTCTTCTTGTACTTTTATGTCACTTTTATTCATTCTTTCTTTCTTATTATTCATCTTATTCTGTCATTTCCTTTATCTGGTTTGTCACTTATTCTTTATTTATGTATTATTATTCATTTTCTTCTGTCACTTCATTTATCTGGTTTGTCACTTTTATACTTTCTTTATTATTATTCATCTTATTCTGTCACTTCCTTTAACTGGTTTGTCACTTTTATTCTTTATTTATGTATTATTATTATTCATTTTCTTCTGTCACTTCATTTATCTAGTTTGTCACTTTTATTCTTTCTTTCTTTATTATTATTTATCTTATTCTGTCACTTCCTTTATCTGGTTTGTCACTTTTATTCTGTATTTATGTACTATTATTATTTATTTTCTTCTGTCACTTCATTTATCTCGTTTGTCACTTTTATTCTTTATTTATGTAATATTATTATTTATTTTCTTCTGTCACTTCATTTATCTGATTTGTCACTTTTATTCTTTATTTATGTGTTATTATTCATTATTATTATTTATTTTCTCCTGTCACTTCATTTATCTAGTTTGTCACTTTTATTCTTTATTGATGTATTATTATTAATTATTATTATTTATTTTCTCCTGTCACTTCATCTATCTCGTTTGTCACTTTTATTCTTTATTTATGTATTATTATGATTCATTTTCTTCTGTCACTTCATTTATCTGATTTGTCACTTTTATTCTTTTTTATGTATTATTATTAATTATTATTATTTATTTTCTCGTCACTTCATTTATCTAGTTTGTCACTTTTATTCTTTATTTCTGTATTATTATATATTTTCTTCTGTCATTTCATTTATCTGATTTTGTCACTTTTATTCTTTATTTATGTATTATTATTAATTATTATTATTTATTTTCTCCTGTCACTTCATTTATCTAGTTTTCGCTCCGTGCCTGCGGTGATTGATGTCAAGGACGGA